GAGTCAAGGTAGTAGAGGCTGACAGAAGCCAGACCATGCAAAGCCTTGTAAATTTGGTAAAGAATTTGGATTTTCTTCTATGAGTAATAAGAAGACATTGGATGATTTAAAGCAGGAGAATAACATGAGTAAAGCTATGTTCTGAAAGACCACTTACATACTATGTAGAGAAGATTGTAAATGCCTCAGAATAGTTGGGGCAGGGGAGATAGAGACAAGTGGATGTATTAAAGATAACCTTTGGAAGTAGGATTAATGGAAATTCTTGATAATTGTGAGAGAAAAGAATGCATGAAGGATGACTCCTACGTTTCGGCTTAAGCTGTTAGGCAATGGCACCAATTGCTAGAATGTGAATGACAGAGAGAAGTAGGTTTGAGAGGCAAAAGCAAGAGCTTTTTTGGGGGATATATTAAGTTTGAAATGCGTATTAGCTATCCAAATGGAGAGGGAAGTTGAATGTATGCCTCTGGAGCCCATGAGAGGGAGCTGGACTGTGGATACAATTTGGGAATCGTTAGCATAAGGATGTGTGACTGGTTTACTGGATGAACCAGTTTGCTTTCTCCAATCCCTGCATTTCACCTTTGATTTCTTGCAACCTCCTTTCTCGTTCCTTCATGGCTCATTGGGTAGGCTCCATAATTTTCCTGCCATTTTCAGTGCTTTAAAGGCTTCTCAGTCCATTTTAAAACTTCCATCTTATTCCAATTTAAATCTCATCTCTTCTTCTTCCTCCAGCACTGACTGGATGTCCTCTCAAGGGACTTGGAAATGAGAAACTGGCAAGATTGACTTTTTCACCACTTCTGCTCTGCTATCTTCGAGAGGAATTAGTTGGCCTCGTTCCTTGAATATTTCAAGTCTCCTAACTTTTCCTCTAGTTTTGGGGCTAAGGGAGGAAATGGGAGAGGAAGAGCATGCAGCTCTTTTCTTAATTGCTTCTTCGTAAGCCCTGAGTTCAACGTCTGTCCTCAAATATTGGAAATTCATTAGCATGCAGTGTACACTGATGGCTTTATTTTCTTTCATTTTGAGCCTTAGTTGCTAATTCCGAGCAACAGTTAAAGTCCCACTTAACATCCTATCACAGATCTCACTTAAGAGCATGGGATTGGATGAGAGATCTCCTTAGGTGACAGTGTGGATTGTTGGCTACATGGAGATTGTTGGTAGACTTAAAACTGGCCCTGTAGCAGTGAAGGAGACAGAGTGCCATGGAGTGGGTTGTGGAGTGAATGAAAGGTGAAAAAGTAAGGATGGTAAGCGGCTTGTTTGGAAATCTCGTGATGAAGGCAGCAGAGAACTGGGAGGAGGAGCATCTATAGGGAGCTATGGAATGAAGCCAATGTTTTTGTTTGTTTGATATTTTTTAAGTTAAAAGTCCCATGGCATATTTTGCTGATCACTAGAGAAGGGGTGATAATGGAGTACAAGAGAGGATCATGAAGGAGCTGTGTCCTTGAGTAGTGGGGAGAAGAAGGGATCCAGAGCAAAAGAGGAGAGATTAGTCTTTGAGAGGAGCAAGAGTACTGCTTGCATTGTAATAGGCGGAAAGGCAGAGAATATGGGGCTTGGTGCTGGTGGTTTTGTAGCTTTGATGATGATAAGACATGGGACATCTCCTCAGATAGCCTCTGTTTTTCTCAGTGAGGCAGAAGAGTTGGTTAGTAGCTAATAACAGAGTAGGTAAAAAGGGAAAGTGAGAAACATCTTTTTCTCCAGTGCTTAAAACCTTTGAAACAGGAGCAGATTCATTTAGATTCACCTAAAACACTCAACAAAATGCCAGAACTATCACATATTTTTTTGAATAAAATAATTTTAATCATCACAAACAGAAATTATCCTTCCCTTTAAATCTCACCTTAAATATAGCTGTTCAGAAACTTACGTGTTTTTCAAAGCCCCAACCTGAAATTGCCAATATTTTGAGGTATCATGTATGGAATAAAATGAACTTATGCTTCACACAAAAGCTGTGTTCATTCTTTAAGATATTTTAATGAAAAGAAGAAACTGTATTGCATTCTGATTAAAGAACTGATTGTACCCTGGAAGACGTATTTTTCAAGAGGGGCTGCTGATAGGGTAGAATTATTTTCTGTGTGGCGGCCTTCCTTCAGGGCCTCTGATCTTCTAGCTGGCTCCTAACCCAGGGCTCCACATCAAGGGGCTTCTCAGTACATGCGGTGGAGTGACTTTCTCTGGGGCCAGCCTTGGTACCTAGAGCCAAAGACACACTTTTGATTACCTCGGGAGGATTGCTATAAAGGCCCTAATTTATTCTCTATCTTTTCTCTTTTTTTCCAGCTCTTCTATCCCTAACCTTTGTTTGCTTGTAAGAGGACTGAGAGCCCAAAATTTAAAGTTTGAAAAGTATAAAGAAAGGAAACTAGTAAATAGGAAAGGAAAATAAATACTGAACAAGACTGGGCAAGGTGACAAAAAGGAATTAAAATCTGGAAGGGGGCCAGGGTGCAAAATGCAGTGGCTGTGTAGTTTACAGGAACTATTTAGTGTTCAGCATGCTTCAGTGATCACCCAGAGAAAGCCAGATTTTTCCGGTTTTGTTTGCTACCCTATAGTTAGTTGTGGAAGCTTGACATAGGTGATCTGTGTTTTCTGTCAGCCAACCGATATAAATACGGAAGACTATGGGGCCTCTGCTCATCAAATCCGACGTGATTTGAATTGCTAGGAGGAGGACCTCTTGTGGCAACAGTGGGAAATACCTCAGCTATAACCTATCTCCGAGGCTGCAGACATTTTTATGAGGGAATTAAAAAAGAACAAACAGAACTCCACCGAGATTTTTAAAGTTGCATTTTAGATATTTATAATATTTAGTTGTTTTGATAACCCCAATTACCATAATTGCATCTGTATTGCATCTCTCGGGAGTTCAGTGTAATTTGAAGCACTTCAGATTTTATCCATTTAATTCACATATCCCCTGAAAAGTAGATAGAAAGTACAGGAGTTTTCATTTCCATTTTGCAGATGGAAAAGAGAGATACAGAGCAGGTAAGTAACTTATTTGCGATTTTACAGTAGGGGAATGCTGGCTCATGACAGAATTTGGATATCTTGGCCCAATTCAACAGTCTGGGTTTCGAAAACATTCATTATTAAAGCTCTAAAACAAAAAGCAAGTGTCAAGTGAATTCTTTATTCAAGAAAAGATGGATTGAGAGACATAAAACTTACTTTTTGTTTTCACTGTGAAAAGAGGCTATTCCTACATTCTCCAGGGGGAAAAAGCTGCTTTAAAAAAATCTGGGAGGAAAATATGTTAGCAACTAAGAATCTTTACATAAATGTAATGTCAATTATGCATGTTTTAAAGGAAGGTACATAAAATTCAATTATTTTACTGGTTTCCCTAGAAATCATATAAAACAAAACCCCTTTCATAGTTGATTCTGACAGTCCCCAGACCCTGCCTTTCCTCTTGTCTTCCTAATATTTGTTCTAAGAGTGACTGCAGAGCTAATAAATAAATGCCTTCTTTTTATTTTGAATTCGACCTTTTAAGAACAGGAATGCTAAAACTCAAATGAGTAGTTCTATTTTAGGGGGAGTTATCCCCCATTGTTTTAGAAGCCATTGGAAGCGAGTCTAAGGAAATGCAGTACAAGTTCAAGTGGGGTGTCAAAAATTGATGAACGGATAAAGCATAAGCCAGGGATATGCCAGACTATCGCAGTGAATGTTAAGATGTTCAGGGTGATTATTGATGTATGAGGATTTCCTACAGCCATTTTATCTTTTGTTTTCTGGTAGCTCGATGTCTCCATTGTTTCTTTGCCCTTGTGTTTCTGTTTGTTGTTTTAGTTTGGTGGTATTCTATGATTTCCCCCCCCTCCTCTCTTTCTTTCTTTTTTTTTTTTTTTATATTATGTGTCTCAGTTCTGGATTTTTTTGGTGTGGTTGCCATTAAGTTTATGCAAAAGGAAGTTTCATATACAGAGTAGTCCTTTTTCTTCTGAATGCATCTTGTCTCCATTCCCCTTTGCAAATTCAGACCTTGACCCCCTCCCCTTTTATGTTTTTGTTGTCACAAATTGCTAAGCCAAATAAGTCAGAGGGAAAAAGTAGAGAACCATATGATTTCATTCATATATGATTTCATTCATATAAGACTGAAAGGAACAAATGAACCAGGCAAAAAACCCCCCAAACACGGACAACAGTATAGCAGTTACCAGAGGGAAGGGGAGTGAAGGAGGAGGTAGAAAAGGATAAAGGGTCAAATGTATGGTGACAGAAGTGGGTGGTGAACACAATGAAGTATACCGATGATATATTATAGAATTTTACACTCGAAATCTATATAATTTTATTAACCAATGCCACCCCAATAAACTTAACAATAAAAAGGATGTTCAGACAGAGGATATAAAAAAGGGAAGAGGAAATATGAAAAAGAATAACCATAGAAGGAAGACATTTTGTTGGAGAAGACTTTTTTGGTAACTTTAATAGTTCTTCTCGTGGAGTTTTTGTAAATTTTCACTTTACATACTTTACTGATAATTATGTGGTCTTACATAAATTATGGAAGCAGAGAGAGTAATAACTGGTGCAAGAGTATGACCCAGGTAAGATTTCAAAGAAAAAACACATCAGATGTGACACATTATTCTATGGCACTGAAGACACTGAATTTTACATAATTGATCTAATGGTGGATTTCCTAGATTCCTGTTATCTCTGCTTTATCATTTTTTACTTTCAGTAATTCCAGTCTTCAGCTTTAGTTAGCAATAAAGGGTCCTTATTTTGGAAAGAGACAAGAGAAATGCAAATCTAACTTATTCAAAGCTTCCTAACAGCTATGTTTGTAGATCTCTAGGCAAAGTATGTGTCTGGCCTTTTTCAACGAAGTATTTTCAGTAACAAGTTGTCAGTGAGGTCAGTGACAAAAAGGATTAGATAACCCACCCTGGTTTGTAACCTCCCCTTTCTTTCTTATCCTGGGTGAATGACGCTCAGCGAAAGTGACTGCCCCACTGTCACTGCCTCTCGGTTGCTCTGTAACTCTGTGATTAACCAAGAAGTCTTCCCCACACACCCTAAAGCTCTTTTTGGATAATTTCCTACAAGAGCCGAATTTTAAACACATTTACTTTATAAGAAGCAACAGAAAGGTAAGAGTCAAGTTTCTAAAGAGAAGAGCTGGACTTCAGTGCATTCTTGTTTCTGCGTTGAATTGCTCTGCCTTAGTTATGTATCGTAGGTTTAAGTTATGGGATTTCCTTCTGAATTAAAGAGCATCACATTATTATATAAAACGGGAATGTTTTGAATAGTTATGATGAGAAATGTAGGCTTTCACGCTAATTTTAAAGTTATAAATAACTTTCAAACTAGTGCCAGAGGAAGCTAGTAGCCAATGTCGTGCTTTGCATTCAGAGAGTTTTCTGGCTATAAAAAGCTGATTGCCATACCATGCAGGAAAAGATAAGATACGGCCTGGATGCTTCTGCTTTGGCATGGAGCTGGGGCAAAAGGAAGCTAAAATAGAAAATGTTCGAAGGGATTTTACTTTCAACCAAAAGTTTGTTCATAGTAAATGGAAGCTTTTCCAGATGAGATAGTGACAAAGCATTAAATTTTGTATTTAATGTTTATCTTATATATTTGTTTTATGATAGGGAGTAATATTAAGAGGTTAAGGAATCTCTCAGAACTATTTTGCCACCATTTATGATCAATTGAAAATCACACTAAATGGGAGGAATATGGGATGTGACGATCAATAATGTAAAAAGAAGGTCACTCCCCGATGGGGTCTGAGTGACTGTGAGCAGTTGCTCTCAGTTGCACTAAGGATAGAACTGGAAGGAATGAGTTCAGATGTAAACAAGAAGAAATTTAGGTCAGGAAGGTCATGGACTGTAGAGGTTCCAGTAGGAAAGACTATTGCAACGTCTCTGAAAATATGTGAGATCCAATGGTTTGCTTAAAACACACGAGTGGGAAAAATAGAGTTTCAAATTAGCCTTGGTTCTGGATTGTGGCTAGCTTATTTAGACTGACTGAAAGGTCAAAATACTGTGATTAATTGTAATTTGGAGATATGGGTTATCATCAGTCGAATTTGAATGGCGTATTTGGATGTGCTATTAAAATTTCATTATCCTTTATAAAAAGTTAACTCAGTAGTAGCATAGGACAAACTTATTAAATGGAGAAACCCCAAATACAGATAGTATAGATACAGCTATTTCCATTTGTTATCTCTTATACATAGTCTGTCTTCCTTTCTTCTTTTTTGAGTAAAATGTTGGAATTTTTATAGTAAAACTTTTTTTGTTTCATTATAAAAATAAAATGAGCTCATTGTATGAATTTTAAAAGCACAGAAAAAATTATCTCTAATCTCTTTGATGTAGTTCCTTCTAGTCTTTTTTCTCTGCATGGCATTAAAATGAATTGAAATAATACTGTAGATAAAATTTGAAACTGTAGTTTTTTATTTAACCTTGTACCAAAATGTTTTCCATATAATATCTATTCTATGTAGATGTTATTTTAAATTGCTGTGTAATATTCTTCCAAGTATTATAATTTTATTAATCATTGTCGAACATTTAAGTGCTATGCTAAATATCTTTGTGTGTCTATTTATTTTAAAAATCATTTTTAAGTTGAAGACAAAGGTTGTGATTTTTAAGATTTTTTTTTTTACAGTTTTTCTTTTAAGGCATTGTAAAATTTCTTGTCTACTAAATGAAATATTTAGTGAGCGTCTCTGGTATGGAAAAATATTGTTATCAGGCACAGGCACATAGATAGCAAGTGTTTGGAAGAGCAGAGTCCCCTCTACGTACAAAATTTCAACTTACCAGCTTTTAGTTATCAATAAGGCTACATGTCAGATCTGAAAATGCTTCAGCTCTGCCTGAAACCAACAGATAGTATTGACTTTAGAACAATAGAATATTACTTTGGACTTTAGAACAATAGAATTTATAAATAACTTTTATTAGAGCACCATCTATACATAGTTCTGATTTATATGAATTTTATGATCCAACTGTGACAAAGAAATAGCAGAATTAGGAAGAATAAAAACTTTAGTTTTAATTATAATAAAACTTTGGGGAAATTAGAAATATTTGGAGAAAATCTACAGGTAGCATAGTGGAAACGAAAGATAGAGGCACATACAAACGCATGGCTAGGGCCATGAAATATGAAGTTTTAATTTTGTTATTGTTATTGAATTTAAGAGCTATGACTGTAGAAATAGAATATATTGAAGAAAAAAAGCTAAGGAATTGGCGATCAATAAAACTATTTGATTTTTGTAGATGGTGGCTGGTCCACAGAAATCAAAGCGGAGAGAGTAGAGATATCAGTATTATTTGGTGGGAGGTGAATTGAAGTATAGAGTTGTGAATTCTAAAAGAATATATTCCTCCTGTATTAATTTTTTTTAATTGTGGAGTTTTATTTTTCAGTGATAGAGGGAGATCGTAGATCTGGAAGAATGAGAGTTCTTTTTTCTACTCACTATGAATTTCTGTTTGCATGTTTCTATTTTTTCTTTGGAATAGAAGGGATTAATATTTAAGAAGAGAAGTTGGCAGCCCAATCTTGCCTAAAGAGAAACTATGTACTTCGTAATGAAGACTTAAAAATAATGTTTATTTATGGATCATTGGCTCATGGGAATGTTAGTCTAGAGATTTAAAAAGCATAATTTTCTGATTTTTGTTTGGATACTGGATTTTAAGTGACATGGTACTGTGGGAGTGGAATTCCTGAGTTTAGCCAAGTTGCAAATCTAATGGAAAGTGACAGATAATTGAGACTACAGAATTTTCGAAAGTGAACAGGACTGTTAGCTGTTGCACCTGATTTTCACATGATTAAATACTGTTTTTAACTACATTATTGCTGCCTGGGACACAGCCAGTAATCTACTACCAATGTAATTACAAACTTCCAGGGTCTGAGAAATGACTTTGAGTTCCTATGTGCAAATTTATTGTAAATTTAGTTCAAATTTATTTGGCACTCTCACTCTCCTACCTCTTTTTCCTGTCTTTTATTATCCTAACCAATATGCTTGTGATGCTTCAGGTGGGAAAATAGATTTGACAGAGAAGGCAATGTTTTAGCACAAAGAAAGACTGTCAAGTCATGAGCACTTTAGACCCCACTTCAAAATGTGGTCAGCAGTTCTCAATCTGTTACCGGTCCATGAAAGGAGATAAAGAGCTTGTACTAGAATATAAATCATCTGCACCCCAAGACTTTGTAGCAAGATTTTCTAGATAAATGAGATGGTTACTGATTTACATTCTGGTGGAAGCTCCTTATCTTATTGTAGACCTGTACTTTGAGTAATATTACTTAAATTACATTGTATAGCATTTATCTCCTCTAGTCTGTTTGCATTATGGGGTAGAGAATTGGGATAGAGGTGTACAATTAATGAGATAATAAATGAATTACCAGGTTTCAGTTGATGAGGCTTCCGAAGGTGGTATCAATGCAAAGTGACCCTGGGTTAGGTCACTGAGAACCCACAGAATGATGGAGAGGCAGGACTGCTGAAAGGACTACATTGGATCTACCTTTCGTGTCAGCTTTGGAATTTCTCATTTTAGATGACTTTTGTACCAGACATTATTCTTAGTGCTAGGAATAGATACTAGTGAACCAAATAAAGGCCCTGACCTCATAGTGTTTCCTTTCTAGTGTGTGTGCTTGTGGATGGGGAATGAAGGGAGAGTGAGAAATAAAACTGACTTCTCTGTGATTCTCTAGAAGAGATACCAGAATCTTAGTCTAGGGCTGCAGTTTTTAGGTCATGTTCCCATGGGAATTCCCATGAGAAATTGACTTGAGTTTTTGTTAGACTCAGCAGTTCCTATTTTCCCAGTATGGGATAACAAAGGAATCCTAGTTTTAAGAGTCAAATAATCGGTGTGATAGACACTACTGGTTGCCAATTTTAGGTCAAGAATAAAAAGGCATAATGTTATACATATTGATCTGCATCTTTTGTTCCCCCTTCTCTCCTACATAGGACAGTTACATTTAGTTAAGATAGATGCATAGCAATTCACGTAGAGCTACCTCATTCTTTTCAACTTCATAGCGTTTTACTACATGATATAGCATAATTTATTTAGCCCATTCTGTATTGATGGATGTTTGTTGTTTTCAGTATTTTTTTAAATGTTTTTATGCTGTAATGAATATCCTTGTTCATATATCTTGATGTACTTTTATGACTGTGCCTTTAGGATTAACTCATGGATGTTCAATTGCTGGGTCAAAAGGAATGTTCATTTAAAAATTTAGTAAGTGTTGTCTTTAATTGGAAATATCAGTCTAAGGTTTAAAGAGTATATGTAATTTAAATTTTGAGAGCTGTTGTCATATCTCTTCAAGATGTTCATATCAGTTTATATTACCACTAGCAATGTGTGCTGAGAGCTTATGCCCCCAACTCTTACCAGCACTGATGATACTCTATCAAAATTTTTCACTTTTGGCAGTCTCATAGGTGAAGTTCTTTTGGTTTGCATTTAAATAATTATGAGTAAGATTTAGCAATATCTATATATTCATTAGCCCATTATAAATATGTATACATACATACATACATATATATATATATATTTACTTAAATTGCCTTTTTGTATCCTTTGTCCTTTTATTTTCTGTTTATCCTCCCATAGGAAATTATACAGATTAGCTTTTTGTCTGTTTAATCTGTTGCAAGTATTTCCCCCTAATTTGTTGTCTATTTTTTGAATTTTATGTTTTATTTTTAAATTATACCAAAAATAAAATATTGTTGCATTCAGAATTTTAAACCTTTTACTTTATGGCTTCTGGGTTTTGTATTTGCTTAGAAAGGACTTTTTACTTCAATTATTATACACAAATGTGTGGTACATGAATTCATTTATACTTTCAGAATTTTAAAATCTTTGCTTTATCTGGAATGGATTTTGAGAAAATGAATGAGGCTGGGGATCAGCTTTATTTTAATTCTCTGTTTGTTTAGGTGATCCAATATGATTTATTTAAGAATCACTTTTTCCTATTAATTTGAAATGCTGTCTTCATCATAAGCTAACTCTCTCTCTTGTTCTAGTAATACTTATATCTAATTGTCTCC